TCATTACACAGTGTGGCTCTAATTCCTCACTTCACCATCTGTGTCGCAGTTTCCCGTCTCCAAAATGAGCGTACACATGGGTCAGAGCTGGTGTGAGGCACTGCACATTTTCACATCAAGTTTGGATTTTATAAATCACAACTTTGGCGTAAAAAAGTGGCGTACGCAAGTTTCTGGGCTCATATTGTGCGTACGCAAGCTTAATAATCTGCTGTGCGCAACGTTCGCTTGCTCTTTAGTAAATAAATCGAAGCCATTTTCTTTTATTTTATCTTTATTCACCTGCCGAAGACAGACGGTCCTCCCACACCTCGCTGCTGCTGCTTCACGTCTGAACACTAGTGCTGTTTTCGGTCTGAACGTAGCGCGTACAACCTAAGGCGTTTTGCTCTTTTTGGCCGCTCAAAACGCATTCGGTGTGAACGTAGCATAAATGAACACGACCAGGTGCAGAGATTTTTGAACAGCCAGACGTAGTATAAAGACAGACCGGTCATTTCACAGAACTGTTTTCCTGAWAAAGCCTTTAACAACAGCTCCCCCAACAAACACTGACAGAAGCAGACCATAAGAGTCTGGGTCTGAACACCCATTTCATAAAGAACTAATGCAGTCTGCCTTAATTAACTAAACATGTCAAATGAAATTACCAGAATGAGTTCAAACAAGGTGCCCTGGTCCACTTTGAGGAACTCCTGGTCCCATACAGGAATGTCATCTGTCCTCTTCTCCTTGTTCTCGTCATCCTCGGGAGGAGGGGGATCGTCCTTGTGATGAGTGCACCACTGAATCACCTGAAGGGAAACATGTGCACAGATTTAACTAAGACTGTACATCTGCAACAAAATTTCAAACAGCTGCAGCTCCTCAGGATCAACACATAAAACCACTTTGTGACAAAATTGATCATTTTCTGTCCAGAAAACCTGAAAAAAATGTATCATAATTTTGCTGATACATCATGCTGGGAATCAGTCAGGGTGTGTGAGAGAGACAGGTGTGTGTTCTTTACCTTTTTAAGGATAGCAGCATTCACATTAGGAAGAGGAACTGGATCATCATCTCCTTCATCATCCATTCCCAAATCTGGCAAATATATAAACAATCAGCCTCAGTCTGCTATAATATGGCAATCATTTTCTTACTAAATAAATTTAATCCTTCACTTTATGGTCGTTTTTTTAGTTGTAAAGTCACACAAAAGTTTATAMGGACTTGAAGGATCTTACCTTCTAACATGGTCTTAATGGTGACAGACTGTTTCGCTATTTCGACGTCWACTTCGAAGATTTCCCCATCAGAGCTCTGCAGTTTTATCGAGGGCATTTCCTGTAACGAAAGTTACATTTCATGAGACATGGTCACCCGGCGGTAGCTCAGGGTCAATAAAACAAACGCACACCGACACATTAACTTATTTACTCGTGTATGACTAGCAAACAACAAGCTAACTTTAGCTAGTTGACAACTCGTCATATCATGCAAATATATACACGTATTTGAAGATACTATTTAGACACCAAAGACAAAGTTAAGTAAATATGAACCTCATTTTGTGCTGTGTTTGTAAGTTTGGTAGTAAATTTTATTAATTGAACAAAAATGGCCGAATATTTCCTAGCTAGCTAACCTAGCATATGGGCTAATGACGACCATGCTAATAGTTAGCTAGTTTACACGCGTTTACAGTGGATAAAAACAAAACACGTGCTCTGAAAAGGATAAAATTAACAATAGGCGGCTTGGATTTGTAAAACAATCAAAATTTTACAACGATGTTTAATGGTTGCGAATCAGGCTGCTAGAATAAACAACAAGACTTTCCTCTGTGGGTTTGCTATGTCAGCGAGGCCTACTAGCGACCACGTCGAGTCGGTTTCAAATCAACATGGAAAAACCACTTTCAGACCAACTTAAGCAGGCAAATTAAATACATGGCTACTTACCGCGAATGTTTGAACGAAAATCCAGAGRTATATTGTTTTTGCAGCCCGTAAGAAAGGCCCGACAGACGTAAGGATACAGACAACGACTCGAAGTCTGTGTTTGAACCCGCTCCGCTCGGAGGCTCCTGCTGCCCCCTGCAGGCTGATGGCCGAAGCAAGGTGGGGATTTTTATTATTATTATTACCTAATCTTTCACTTACCCTTTTAAAACCCTAAAAATACTATGATAAGAAAAATGTGCACTGCATACTTAATGTTTATTTTACATCCCATAAGACATTAATTTGATATTTCTTTCATTTCATTAATTATGAGAAACAAAACAAAAATCCATTGGAAAAAGTATTTCAAACACTGAATGAAAAGTGTGCAGAAAGAAGAAACAAATCTTACGTCTACCCCTTATTTAAAACAAAAATAACCGCAAACAACTTAAGTTTGAACAATCTCCATAGCTGTGGAAACTAGGGATAAAACGAGTCATTTGTTTTATAATACTGTATAAATCATATTAATACTTTTATTGGCCTTTTTCTATTTTGACACTGATTTAAAAATCACCGCTTGTGTAGCACATAACACTAAACATTTTTGACATTCCTGATTTTGAAATGGTTTAATTCATTACAAACAGATGTGCTCACTTTTTATATTTATTGAGCTTCGCTTGTGTAATACCAGTAAAACACCACGAGATGGCGCTGTTTCTTTCTTTCCGGTCTTTTCCAGCAGATTCCACGGTGCGTTCAATTGCAACGTGAAAACTTGGACAAAATATCGTTCAATCCATTTTAGGTACTGCATTTGTACAATTTTTTTTTCCAACAAAATGCTTTTTTGTATTGTTTTATTATTATTTTATTAGAATATTTACAAATACTAGTGCCTAAAGGTAAAAAAATAAAGTATGCTTACATTTACACACACACGTAATA